TTGTCGTATGTATCTGGCTTTTTATCTGGATCCTGTATCATATCCTTTACTACAATATATAGCGAAATGGTAAAAGTTAGTGTTTCCCTGAGTTCTGTGAGCTGTTCTGTCAGATGAGAGAAGCCAAGGAGGAGGTTGTAGGACTCTCTGATTTGCAGCCAAGGCAGCCAGAAATGATGGATAACCTGGGGACCTACTACTTGCAATTGACATTGAAGTGAGGGGCAGTCTTGTGGGGACTGAGCCCTTAACCTGTGGGGCCTGCACTAACTCTGGTTAGTGTCAGAATTGACTTGAATTGCAGGACACCCAGCTGGTATCGAAGAATTGGTTGAAAACCCACACATATCTGGTATCAGAAGTATTATGTGTGAAAGTAAAGGAGAAGTGGGGAGCTTTTCCCATCGTATTATTACCTCCGTTTGAAATAGAGAGCGAGAGAGCAAAAAGATGCTCAGAAAGACATGACACTTGTCACCAGTCATGGGGCCAGTAAACTAGGATGTAAGTCAAGCGAAAAAGCCTGAACTCCTCCCTTGAACGCTTTGCTTGAACTCTATCCTCTTCCCTCCTGTCCCCTCTTCCTTTTCATCCCTTTCCCCCTTCCTCTCACTCTTGTCCAATAGTCATCACCTTGCTGATTGTGCCACCTGACATCCTCAGACACTATTGCTTTTCCTATTACTAGTACCACAATATTAGTCCTTTATTTCTTCTCTCCTGAATAGGAAACGGCCAGCTAGCTAGTGTGCTGGCCCCATGTGGTGCTTTTTGCCTCTCTCTGGCTCCACAAAATTCCAGGCATATAGAAAGTGTTCATTAAGTGATGTTATTTTATTATTATTATTATTAATATTATTATTATTATGAATGAGAATAATTTAGCTCAGGTGACAAATATATTGCAAACATGCAGACTGAACAAAAATTACTGAAGAGCAGGGTTCTTTAGAAGAGGAATTCAAAGCTCTCTTTGGGAATATAAAAGGAAGATAGGCTAGAGAATGGATGAAATCTCGAAAGGTCATCTGAGGCTTTGCACTTTAAGTATATCACCCAATGGCATCACTATTTGAAGCCGTTTTTAAGCAGCCCATTGGAAATGGCATTGGCTTGAGACATTGCTTTTCTGGCCCAAACAACCAAGGTTGTTCCTTGGTGTCAAACCAAGCCAAACAGGAATAGTTCTGAATTTGTCTTAATATTCCTCTCTCTAAACTGTTCTGACATTAAGCATTCCAGAGAACTTGATCTTTCTGAGAACCAAATAGAGATGTGCAACATTTTATTCCTGTTTCTCCACAATATTTTTATGCATATTATTGTTAATCTTTCCACAGCCACGCATCATGTTTTGATGGCCTGACTGCCAAAATGGTTGCAAGTCATTTGTGAGGAAAATTATGCCAAATCTCCTCAATTGTTTTACGTCTCCAAGCTGCATTTATGATAGGGATATAGCTACCCTCTAGTATAAATACATTTTAACCCTAAATCCTTCAAAGTTAGTAACAATGACACCAACTAAGAAATGAGCAACAAAGCTTAGGTTTCATTATCTCTATTTCTTTCCTCTAACCTATTCGTATGAATCGACATTCATTTTATAGTAAGTATACATTCATTTTCTTCTTTTCATTCATCTGTCTCGTTCTGATAATAGTCACATCTATTCATGTTCTGAGAATTTTCATGACACAATATCCTCAATTACATCCTTATGAAAATGGGATGTGCCTGGATTTGGCAATGGGTCAAGTGTGAGTTCACGAATGTAAGAATGTGATTTACGAACATTATTATATTTTAGAACAATGTTTCCCAGCACCAATGCAACTAACATGTTTTTTTTTTTATGGCTTTTCCTTAGAACACAAACACCCCCCCACACACACACACACACACATTTCAAGAACTAGTCAGTTCTTCATGACTATTCTTCCCTTTTTAAATAATATTTTCCATTTTTCATTATCTAATTGGTGTTTCTTGATAACAACATGCTTAAGATTATAGAGACACTATGCTGACTAGAGAAACCACCCCCGATCCAAACTCCCACAGTCCATTAACTAGTCTACACTAACCAGTGTAGAGTTAGTCTCACATAAAGATCGGCTACATTATGCTCTGTAAATATCACTCTGTGATACTACATAATATAAGACAAATAAGATGCTTCTTAACCTATGTATTAGCTGTTAAAACATTATCACTCACCAATAAAGTCTATATTCAATGAGTCAGTAAAACAACCAAAAAAGTGAGGGGCAAAAAAAATCTCAATGTAAGTAGGTATATACTGCATTGTGAATAAAAGCAACAAATTCTAATGGTTTCATTAAATTTTCAACTTTCTAGAAATTTTTGTGTCACAAAATTAAAAATTCCTTGACTTTCAGTTATCTTCAATAATTAATAAATACATTTGAGAGTAAATATAAACAAGAATATTTAAAACCACAAATAATCCAAACTTTGTTTCAATTAGGTCTAGACATACACAAATCTCTGCCCACTCATATTTACTGACGTCTTGACCATCACTCTCTTTTCTCTTACCCCAATAATTTTCACATGGGTGTTGTTGCATGCCCAAATTTTTTTCTCCTATGCCCTTCCCTGGACCAACTCAACATTCCCTAGGCACGGCACAAATAGAATTGTGTTATCACCTCTCTGTTCCACTAGCATCTCCTAAGATTCTATTGCCAAAGTAGACATTAAATGGGCAATGGGAACATGCAAATGCTTAATATTCTGTAACTTAAATAAACTAATTATATTTAATCCAGGGTTTCTGTATAAACACGTCAGACCCAGACACCTTTAATTAGCATGCTTTCAATTGGTAGCTCGGAAACCTGAAGCTCATAAAGATATTAAGTGATCACCAAAACAGTGCCTCATAAGAGCATCTAGCAATAATTTAGAAATGTTGAATAAATAGCACTTCCCCAAGTACTTCCATAAGGGCAGGTTGACTAACGTATCCTGATATAAGAACTAACCTCCAAAATCAAACAATAATCTATTTCCCTAAGGTGTTTGGAAACATGCAAATCTAGTTAATTCTATATACAATTTTAAAGGAATAATAATAAACTCGCAACTAGAATGGAATATTACCATTGTTAGGCTCGATTCTAAATATTTTTGTGTAATTTATTTAATCTTTATAACACGTCTAGGTGTTAAGTATTAGTATCTTCCCCCTTTCACACAGGTGAAACTGAGGCATAGATGGTAAGGCTGCCCAGGTCACAAAGTCAGCTGATGAGGCAGCCTGCTTCAGAGTCCACACTCTTAAATGCCATAATATGATATGTGTGGCACCAATGGATGACTTTTATTCTTTTAATCCACAAATACCAAAAAGAATAACTATTCCAAGGATTAGACACTGATAAAGGATTGTCATATGATGTCTATGTTAAATATGAGAATAGATCACATCACTATCAGAAGAGTAATCTAAGAACAAGAAGAATATATGTAAGACCATGTAACTATGGAAACCCAGGGAAAGAGCTGCAAACAGATTACCAGCTGAGAAACTACCGCGGTTCCCCGCTAAGCAAAAATATCAGGCGGACAGTAAACCTAAGAAGCAGAAAAGCAGGCATCATTGGCCTCTGCCAATAGCAGCCATGGGCAAAAATACTGACAGACATGCACCAGCCACTTCAGGCACCTCCATCTCCCTGTCAATATGCACATGAAGAGTAACATACCCACGCAAGGGTGTCCAGGCACAGGTGTGTCCCTGTGTAGTGTAAGGGGGTTAAATCTGGATTAACTTCTCAAACAATGAACAGATAATTTGGATTCTATATTTATTTTTGTTTTCAAAGTTAGGTAAATATTATTAAAGCTAAGGATTGGGGGAGGGAGAAGAGGGGGCAGGGAGGGGATTATCCTAGAAGGAGAAGTTCAGTGACTATTTGAATAAATTGCCAAACCAATCAAAGAATGAGTCACTTAGCATAGTGACTAGTTTTGATATTATAAAATACGTGTAAACCAAACTTTAATTCTTTAACTTGGTGACCTTGATTTTCTATTTCAGATATTAATTTTCTTATTCTTTAGCCTGCTGCATACTAGCTGGTAAAGAGAGGCAGGCATTTATAGAGTAGAGTGTGCTCCAAGTTCCCACAGGAAGGATCAAGATATCAGCATCTATCAGACTTTAGGGAGAGGATGCCTAATAAAACAAAAAGACTGGTTGGCCGGCCAAGTGGCTCAGTTGGTTAAGAGCTCGCTCAAGAGTGCGAGCTCTGAGCAACAGGGTCGCCGGTTCAACTCCCAGCTAGAGCTGAGCTGATGCTGAGCTGCCAACAGGTGGCAGGATGGCTCAGCTAAAAATAAATAAATAAACAGATAAATAGATAAATAAATAAATAAATAAAAATTTAAAAAAGACTGGTACTTCTTTATGCTCTGGGAAAATAAAAGCATACTCCTTCAACGTATAAGTACACTTGCAGCATCTAAGACAAAAAAAGTTCGGCCCCATTTAGAAACGGTCAAGAGGTTTCACTTCTCATAATTACCAAGATAGTAAAGAGGGATATATAGAAATTGCTAAAATCATACCTAACATGTGGTTATTTGAAAACCACTTATTACAATACGAATGCATTCTTGTATTTACAGGATAGAAACAGGAAACCTGATAAGGGATCACGCACAAAATATCTGTCCCTGTTGCATCAAGCAAAAAGAAACATGACCAGACATTGATGCCGACAGCTTATAGTTTGCACTCTGCAACAGCTTCCAGCCACTGCAGGTTGCACATGGAAACAAGTCTTTTTCCTTGGACCCAGCTGTGAAGAGCCTGAGACATTATATTGCAGGAGACACCTTAATTAGTTAGATGAGGTTATTCTGGCTTTTTCAGAAATCCTAAAAAGTACATTTTGTTTCGCCCTCCCAAATCTCCCCCATTACTTGTCCATTTCATTTTCAATACCCAGTGAGCTCCTACTGCTTACTTGGGATAATTTCTAGGTTGAATGAAAGGCAGAATCTCGGAGTCTTGACTAGATGGAGGAAGTAGTAAATCTCTAAATCGTTCTGTCAAAAGAAAAATAAACATCAAGCTGTAAAAAAAGTCATGAAAATAATTTGAAAACAGAATGATTTCCTAGTTTTAATTGGTTCACTAGTTTGACTGCACATCCTTTATTAGAAATCTACCCACCATTTTTATACTACTAAAATATGTCTATTTCACTTGAATGACTATAAATGTTTTTATGATTAAGATATTGCAACAACTGCAAATATAAAAACAGCAAATATTCATTAATATAGACTAATAAAATCTTATAATTGAAAGATTAGAAGAAATACATATGATCAATAAATATACCAAGTGATGCACAATCTCATTTTAACCTAGGAAATGCAAATCAAAATCACATGCCATTAGATAGCATTCACATTATGTGGCATGCAATTGACAGAAATTAATCTCAGAAGACCAAGTATTAGAGAAAATGTGGATCAATATAAGCTCTCTTATATATTTCTAATGGAAACGCAAGTTGGTACAATAGCTTTGGAAAACAATTTGGCATTCTCTTTTAAGTTTAACCTTTTCATCCCCTGTGAGTCAATATTTCCACTCCTAGATATATACTCTGCAGAAACTTTCACATATATCTCAGGCAGAAAGTAAAAAATGTTCATAGCACCACTATTCCTAACAACAAAAATGTAAACAACTCAACTGTCCACTAACAGGAGAGTGGACATTTTGGGGTATATTCACACAATGGAATATTAACTGAAATGAAACTGAGTGAATTCAGTTACAAATAAAAACATAATCATATTAGTGTGATGTTGCGTGGAAAAAAACACAAAAATATTACATATAGAAGAACATCATTTTTTTGTTCAGTTAAAAAACAAACACAAACATTAAGCAATTTATTGTTTAGGCATGTTATATATGACACAAACCAAGCCAATAAAAAAAAGGAATGATATACATAACTAAGGATAATTGCTTCCTTTCAGGAGGGATCAAGGCATGAAATAGGAGGAAAGCAAAAAGGGAGGCATAAGTAATTGTTAATATAAGTGAATGAATGAATGAGGAACAGGAACTATCCAATGATAATATTAGTCCATGAACCAAGAATTTAATGAATGAAATTCTGTGCTCATGAAGTTCATGATAAAGGAAGAAGGGAGGGAGGGAAGGAGGGAGAGAGAGAGGAAATGGGAAAAAAGAAAAGGGAAAAGAGGAGTGCAGAGGGAGGAAGAATCCTCAGTTCTACCTTAGAAACAGTTCTACTGTACAGCTATCTGCATTGCATAATCTATTACTCTAACACAAACCCCACATTTCCAGGATTAGATAAGCATTATCTCTAAACTCGTTCCTATGGGAAGGCTTCCTTGATCTCTGCTCCTTCTTTCTCTTCCTACCAAATTTGGAATAGATGGTGCGACGGTGCACTCCTAGTATACTCTGTGCTTACACTCTCATAGAATTCATCACACTACGTTTTTATATGGTAGACATATATTCTAGTAGATGAGTATAGTGTCACCAGGATATACAACATTATCTGATACATATTAAGGTGCTAGATAAATATTAGCTGAGAGAATATTTCCAATATCTATTTTTGCTGAATACAGAAAACTGGTTGCCAAGGTTAATCATAATGCCTTCAGATGAGCCCAGCTGGTAATCGATCAACCATGAAAAGCAAGGGATTCTATATTCCAGACTTGACAGTCCCACCATCAGGCTGAGACAGAGTACAAAGCTGAGACTCCAGACTTCAGTAAATTCATCACTAACTGAAGGGGAGCAATTTCCACCATACAGTGAAAACACTTGATGATAATCCTCAGTTCCCAGTTACTGACTAGCTAGATGTTAAACATTTATGAGCACAATGTACAAAGTATGGCTGAGAAGCAGGATGTGGATTTTTATCTTCAGATTTATTAAAACATCTTGAATCAGAGATATTTAACTGACTTCTTCCTTGCTTTTTTGTTTTCACCACTATAGTAATTCTTGTAATACACTTAGTTAGGGAGGGGGGAGAGGAAGGACTAAGACGACCCAAACAGAGGTGGTTGTACTCTGAAGTCCATAGATCCAAGAAAGCACAATTTATTTTGCTCCTTTGAGTTCACTTATTCTTTAATTTGAGTTCATATTTTTTAATTTCATTATATCATTGACTGATATAATTTTCAATCAACAGGATGTTCATTTCAATGAAATGTCTAGGAAATTCTTCTAATGATATAACCCTTGCTTTTCAGTCTACTTTCCAATTTATGTAACATCCCCTTAAATAAGTGTTTTATACTAACATTTGTAGTGTTTTTTTCCTTTTGCCCCCCCACCGCGTTCATCCCTTTCTTGAAAAGAGTCTTGAAAATAAACTTCCAAACCCAATAGCAAACATGATAAATTTTACACATCAAGTAAAGAACTGTTAAATCAAACATCTATATTGAATATGATATATCATTGGGTGCTAAAAATTAATATAAATTAAAAATTTACCAAATGATTCCCAAACTGATTTAAATGCAAAGAATAATCAGAATTCTTAATTCAAACAATCATAATATAATACATCTACAGGTTTTTCCCTATTTATATAATAACAAAGAATATTTATTTGTAAACCTGGAAGAAAATCACTCAAGATGGCATTGTATTGATAGGACTAAAAAAAAAAAAAAAAAAAAACAAACCAAAAACAAAAAAAAACACACACACACACACACACACACACACACACACACACAGAGCAAAAGTAACATATAAGAGATCACTTATAAAGCTACCCAAACTATGAATTCTGTAATTAATGTTCCTACATTTGGAGGATCCTTTAATCTGAATATCATAAATGCAAGGAGTAACTAAAGAATAAAGACACTTGAGTAGCTATCATGACTTTCAAAAAATTTTTCACATATACACAAACAGAAAATATAACAGTACCTTAAAATTATGTTCTTTACAAAATTTCTATTTTTATCATCATATTCATACATTTCTAAATGTGATTGATTAACTTTATCCCATAAAGATATAATGATTCTTCGTTTTTTCTTTATGAGAATAAAAATCAATGATGAAAATAATCCTTAGAAAAATCCAAGTGAATGAAAAACTTTACAATTCTCACATCAGTCCTTTAGTTTCCCAGATTTCGGCCTATCTTCTAGTGAACCAGCATCCCATTCTTAACCTGATGCTAGGAAAAAGAGCCAAATAGAAACTGGTATTTCCTTTAAGTAGTAAAATTTTAAAATAATACTTGTTCACTTGCAGCAAAATGTCACACCAAGTGATTTGCTTTCTCAGTAGGCCCAAAGTCTATTTCTTAAGAAAATGGTAGTTATCCAAATACTAGAGCTCAGTACTTTCCCAGGGTTCCTTAGGACAATTTTACTAAACCCACTGAGAGCCAGATTTTCTGCCAAGTGATATTCTAATGAGCTAATGATGTAATATGTCCAAACATGATTTTCTACCAGTAGGGGACATATCTTAATTAACACAAGCTTTTGTAGACTTTCACACACTCTTTCTTTCTCCTATTCAATCAAAATGATTCTGAGACAACCAGACCTGGATGACATACTTACATACAATTACATTAATTTGGGTTCGCTCTTCAATCGTGAGACAATATACTTAATTTTTTAAAAACAGAGGTGAGAAAAATAAACTACTCTTTCCAATTTTAATTCAAACTTTTTTGAACATTTACTGTGACAAGATTTTTTTTCCACCCTTTGTGGAAAATGGCCAATCTGCAATCCTCCCCAATATGCAGAATGTAACAAATGTGATAAGGATTTGCATAACAACAAAAAAACAGTATGCAAATACATTCCTAGGATGAGAATAAAATCTTCTCCATATCACTATAAAAAAGGGAAGAAAGAAAAATTAAAGACAGACTAGAAATATAAAGCTGATGCTGATTATGCTATTCTTTTGTAATCTAAAAGTCCTGTGCATCTAGATGTCATCACAGCCACTCAGTTAGCGTCTTTAATAAGAACCTAAAAAATTGTTTACTGGAGGAACAATGTCGAAGTTTTACCAACTCCAAATCATTGTTTCCTTCCAGAAAAATCCTTACCTTTGCCTCTCCATAGTCTCCAATATGGGAATGAATGTTTTAACTACTTGAGTACAGATTATAATGGGCAAGGGAAAAAAAATCAGATAAAACATCTCTAAAGGTGACAATGTTTCTCTAAAAACCCTGAAAAGAAATTCTTGGCATTTCTATTAATAAATATAAGCTTTCTTCTTTGTCTTGATGCCCATTTTACTGAATTTGAAAGTTTTAATGTCTTTTCAAAAAACACTGAAACAAAATCTTTAAGGGACAGAAAGCAGACTTATTAAAGACTTAATCCTAGTTTTCACAATAGCTAAATATGTTAAATAGCTAAATATTTTATAATAGCTAATATGTTACAATATAATGTAACATAGGAAGCTACAAAATAAATGTTGCAAAGAAATAGACACTATTCCCATACTCAAAACTAAAACAAAATCAGGAAATGATTACACCATAATATTTATATTATTCTACAAGAAACACTGAGGATAATCTCATAATGCAGGCAGTGTTATAAAGTGAGTACACATGAGAAATAGTATACCAAAGAAGAAATGTTTCTTTACTCATACAATTTGCAGTACTTAGAAACAGCAGGTTATACCAGAAAATACCAAATTGGTTGTCAGAAAGTGAATTCTCTACCAACTTCTGTCTCTGTTCGTAATTCTTTTTTTTCAAATGACAAATGGGTCAGATGAGTTCAGTGATCTTTAAGCCACCTTTCAACTTTGAATTCCTTAAAGAACATAACACTAGACAGGAAGGGAATCTTGACAAAATCACTGATAGTGAGGCTGGATGTATGCCTTGGTTTGCCTGGGACAGTTCTGGTTTATGCTTGTTAGCATCATGCTTAATTTAGTATTCATCTCAGAATTTTATTTTTTAATTAAATGTTATTAATAAAATGTGCTCGGGGCCCTGAAGTTGACAGAG